ACGCGGTCGGTAGGACTCGAACCTACGCTCCCAGAGGGAATCTGATTTCTAGTCAGACGCCTTAACCACTCGGCCACGACCGCCTTGCATGTCGCCGCCTCACACCTTTTCGCTACAAATGTATTTTTTTCAGGAACGCGGACTGCAAAACCATCGTCATCATCGACCACTAGCGATTTGTCTTCGAGCGCCCAAAGAAACATTTGCTTGGGCGTGATCACACCAGCTGTATCCAGCTGTGTGGGCGAAAGCGATCCCAGCCAACGTTACTAAACTTACCGAGGAGTATGTGGTACCGACCACTGTAGGTATAGTCTGACGTCTGTTCTGATTATTTTCACAATCTGTGACCAGTAAAGTTATCACTGCCCCGAGCATATGAAATGTAACTACACTAGGAACCCTGCCCAGTGTCAGCCATTTCCCCGCACTGTTCACTGTACCACGTGCATGGCCTTCAAACTTACTGTCGCTTTAAGGCAATCGCAAAACAATGGCAAGCTTTTTCGCACCACATCTGGTCCAGCGTTGGAGAAGCACCACATCAAGCAAGGGCAGGGTGAGAAAGCTTTTTTAAGGGTTGAATCTGAACCTTTTGAATGGATGGATTTCTTGGGTTGGAGCTCACACTAAGCAGACCTTATTGTGTGAGGCCGCAATGCTCGACACGGTCCGCCCTGTCCTCTGACGTGATATGACCATTATGGCGGCGACTACCACCGGCCGCAGGCCATACTGTCAAGGGCAATAGCGAGCGCCTAAAGCGACTCGAACTCACCCCGCCACGAGTGGGTGAATCGGACGGCACGCACTCTAACCAATTGCGCTATCGGGACGAATTATTATAAAAGAAGACGCCTTTGCTATTTCAAGGATGCAGTTTCGACACAACGCAGCCATGAACACGCTTCGGGGATGGCATTGTCGAAGGCGCATCAATCATCTGAAAAGTCTCATTCTCGGCTTAGGATGGTGTACCGCATATGGAGGAGAATGTCCCAGGGGTTGGAGCTCGTTGATGAGCTTTTGCATGTTCAGAACAAATTCTACCAGTGGTAGTTGCCTATTATTATGCATCCGTCTGCCGGCTTCATTCAGATACAGAGACAGGTGCGAGCATTGACTAAAACTATCCGCTGTTAACTTCCGGCTACTTCAGCCTCCCGCCTAGATATAAAGCATGGGGAATGTTGTCATTGCCGCAGGATGTACCCGGCCACAGTCAACCTGAAGAATTTAGGCCATAATCCCTTCAGGTCTAGCAGGGTCGGAAAGGCCGTTGCGTTAGGGCCAATTCTTCGCTGCAGGTACAATGATAGTGAAGGTAACCGTGCTTACGATCCGACCATCCCATAGCCGTGTGCATAGCTGCATATTCATCAAAGCTGCGTTCGTGAAGTAGTAAATAGTGTATCGTTTTACCCTACCCTTATCTGGTGTGGTGCTTCTCAGACGCTCGGCCAGACATGATGCGGAAGGTGACATCGTTTCGCGATTGGCTTGAATCGAGAGTAAGCATTCACGTTTTGTGCGTGATACGGTGAACAGCGTGGGAGCTGATGATGGTGAAACTCTGTGCAGAATTCTCGGTGTAGTTTACATCTGATCTAATACGACGATAATTACTTAACTGGCCACAGATTGTGATAAAAAAATCAGAACAGACACACGAGGTCACCCGGCAGTGGTCGGTACCATATATCTTGGCTTGTTTAGTGACGTTGGCTGGGGTCGGTTTCATTCATGCAGCTGGACAAAACTGGTTGTGGCCATGTCAAGCAGCACTTATATCCGGCAGTCGAAAGCAAGTCGTTAGTCCGACAGTGGTGGTGGGTTTCCCGCCCGCGTCGCTGAAAGATCTGCACTGTGTCGAAAAACGTGTGGGGCGGCAGTGTATACGGCGGTCGTGGCCGAGGGTTAAGGCGTCTGACTAGAAATCAGATTCCTCTGGGAGCGTAGGTTCGAGTCCTACCGACCGCGATAAGGCTTTATGACAGCCTAGCTGAGGCTGGATGTTTCCTGGAACATGTCATGCGTGTACAGATCTGCACTTTCTGTGAGGACGGAAGGAGGAGTACGCCGATGGTGTCGGCCCAATTAGAAGCTGGATTGAAATGTTGCCTTAAGCCTTTTCCTCCGGCATGGCGTGATCTTAGGCATGGTTACTTTCAGCGTTGGCGCACATACAACGAAGACATTGGCTCTAACGCAACGGTCCTCCCGATGGTGGAGCGTAAGGAGCGTAAAGAACGTAGCGATGCGTAAACAATGGGTGGGTGAAGAGAGGCTCGGAACCATCTAACCAACAGAAATTGTATTCTAAGATAATGAATTTGCACAAACAATGACAAGGCACTGACGTAGAACGAACAAGTCCGTAACCAAGCATCAGCCTCAGCTGGACTACATAAATCACTTATCGCGGTCGTCGGGACTCGAACTACGCTCTCATAGGGAATCTGATTTCTGGTCAGACACCTTAAACCACTCGACCACAGCCGCCTTGATGCCCATGCATCACACCTTTTCGCTGCAAATGCATGCTTTTCCAGGAACGCGACTGAATACCGTCATGAAAATCGACCATTACAGTTGTCTTTGAGTTCCCCAGGAATGTTTGCTTGGACGTAGCCACAACAGCCGTTCCTGGGCGGAACGGACCCCAGCCAACGTTACTAAACAAACCGAGGGGTATGTGGTACTGACCACCTCAGATACACTCCTACGCCTGTTCTGATTATGTACCACAATCAGTGACCGGTATAGTTATGATTGCCGCAACCATATCAAATGTAAATTACACCGGGAATCTTGCCCAGTCTCCACCATCGCCAATTCCCAGCACCGTTCACTGCATCACGTGCAAAATGTGAAGGCATATCCTCGCTTTAAACCAATCGCGAAACGATGGCTAGATTACGCATCATGTCTGATCCAGCGTCAAGAAAAGCACCACACCAGACAAGGGTAGGGTAAGAGAATACGCCATTTACTATTTCAAGAACGCAGTTTTCATAAGTATGCAGCCATGCACTCGGCTTTCGGGATGGAAATGTCAAAGGCGCATCAATCAGCTCAAAACCCTCATCTTCTGCTGAGGACGGGCCGTATTTGAAAAGAGAGAGAGAGAGAGAGAGAGAGAGAGAGAGAGAGAGAGAGAGAGAGAGAGAGAGAGAGAGAGAGAGAGAGAGAGAGAGAGAGAGGGGGGGAGAGAGAGAGAGACATATATATATATATATATATATATATATATATATATACGAGAGATATAAACCATAGCACATTTGCCATGCCGTATATCTCCCTCCTAGATTTACAGCGTGGCAGATGTGTCATTTCAGTCCGAGAGTTTTCGTGGGTTTCCCGCCCGCGTCGCT